AGATAGGGAGCCTGAGGCTCCACAGAGAGTTAATGTCTTGCCTAAAGCCACACAGCTGTTCCGTGGCACAGTGGCCTGGGGATCAAGATGGCTGGCTGGACTGAGCTCTTAAACACTGTGCTGTAATGCCTGTTGATACTGAGGTTATTAAAATGCTGGTGATGAGAAAGATATAGTTAGACCCAGATTGTCATGAAAAGCATCAATTACAGTAATATATGCATTTTCTAACCTTCAATTTGATTGGACAAGTGTGGGCCTCAGCCACCTCCTGCATCTCCATCAGTTTACCTGCATCTAATCTCAGACCCCAATGCTAATGACTGAGACTAAAATGCTATTTTTAAAAGGGGAGTCATGTGAGTGGGTAAGCATGATACAGGAGTACTACCCGTGCCTAATAGATACTTAGGACTCTATATATGGCACCTCTTCTTATGCCTCCCCTACCCCACCTAAAGGACTGCTTCCAAATGCCTGGTGGGTGAGATTCAAGCAAGCCTCGGGGTAGAAGACGTGGCTCCTACCTGCGTCCTTGTTCTGTAGTGGGTGGATATGGTCCCCAGAAGGAAGTGGCAAGACCTGTGGGCAGAGTGTTCTGGACTCAGAGCTGAGCAGCTTCCCTTCCTCCGGAGGCTGCCATGTGAGGTGGGGCTCAGAATGGCTGGAGTCTGTGCTGGGCAGAGAAAGCCCACCCTTGTCTCTCCTGACCACCAGCTCCTTCCTCTTCAGATAAATATGTGAGAAAATGAAGAATCAAACTCACCTTCTAGGAATGAGGTTCAAATTCAGGGCACAAAATAAGAGAATCACCTTGGAGAAAGAGTTGTCCTACTATAACATGGTCATCGTTAGTATTCATAGCATTTGTGTGAGAAATTGATTATTCATGAGTTTTCCCACTCTCTCTTCCCGCCTGGCAGTTGAAGAGCATGCAGCCCACAGGGCAGTGAGCACCGCATCTACATTCAGTGAAATCTGTCCAAGAGGGCAGGCGAATCTCCCCTGGGCACTTTAGTGCCACTGTCCTGTGCTGACAGAGGGACTGAGGGTGACTTGGGTCCAGGCAGTCTTTGAGGTACATTGAATTCAGAAGACATTTACAGAAACAAATGTGACAGAGTTGGAACATACGTGCTAGGAGAAAAGGCTCCAGGAACTGGGGTGGATTGAAACAATATACTTTTGCACTCTCTCTTCCCAAGACCAGATGATGCTGTGCGGATGCTGTCTCTTTTAGTGCATAATTCTAGCCTCTGCAAATAATACCAATGCATGTGACTATTATGTGTGTAAATACTTATCTCTTCTACCCTTCCATCAGAAATGTAGTTTAAGGAAGAGCAGGAGGATTCCTAGGATGTTAGTTGTTCTGGTCAGTTTTTTCACTACTACACCCTGAGCAGAATCATTGTACGGGAGGAAGAGTTTATTTGGGGGCTCACACTTTCAGAGGTCTTAGTCCATAGGAGGCTGGCTCCATTCCTTAAGGCAGAAGAGTGTGGCAGAGGGAAGCAGCTCACATTTTGATCCAGAGGCAAGACAGACTGTACTTTCCAGAGAGATATGCCCCAAAGGCCTGCCCCCAGGGACCCACCTCCTCCAGCCATACCCTACCCACCTTCAGTTACCACTCAGTTAATCCCAAAGAGGTTAATTCACTGATTGGGTTAAGGCTCTCATAATTCAATCATTTCTCCTCTGAACCTTTTTGCATTGTCTCACGATTAAGCTTTTGTAGGCACACCTCATATCCAAACCATAACATTAGTAGAATCATTCAGACCGTGGATCAACGAGAGGCCACACAGTTGGGATGAAACCTTTGCTGAGGGGAGAGGTGTCATTGTGTTATCTTAAATTGCTAGAATTCTCTTTGTAGCCAAGACCTATAAAATTAGCCTAAGCCTAAGTAAAATAGTTGCATTTCAAGAAAAAAATTCAAATTCCTCCCACATGGTAGCAACAAAGCAAAGGGTGCACTGTCACTAAGAAATCAGGGGATTTAGGGGAAGCTGACAGAATTCTGCCAATGTCACAGACACATGTGACCCATTCCAGGAACCAGGAATCTCATTTTTGGTTACCAAGGAGCACAACTGCCAATCACGGGGTCTCAAACTAAAAATAGACACATTTTGCCTTAACTTCTTATATGCTTACTCCTCACCAACCATGGGATTTACAGGCCATCAAAGTTCTTATGTGTAGTGGCAGAATCATAGTTGGCAAGATTAAGGTCTTATAAAGTATAGGCAATTGGGAAACATCAAAGTTGTGTTAATATATGTGATTAAAACAGTAAGTAAAAGTTCTAGAAGGCACCCACCCCCTCCACATAACCACCATTTAATCCTGAGGTGTCCATGTGTGGGGACCCTGGCATTGCTCCCTGGGTCATTTGGGAGACAGGGCCCACATCTCCACTGAGGCAGAGAGGCTCCAGCAGCAAACCTGCTCCTCTGAATGTATTAGAACCAGCCCTCACTGGCTTGGAATGAAAAGCCCTTTGTCATCACTAGGACCAACCTCCCTTAAATTCCTTCTCTCGCTTCTTCCCCTCCCCACACACACCCCCCTCCTTCCCTTGTAAAAATCAAGTCTAGGCAATTGTATAACCAACCCCCTAACTTCTCACAAATGATGCGGGTGATTAAGGGCATGTTTTATGAAGTCTGGCCCTTCATTTGAGAGGGTCAATCTCTGTAATCTCCTTCTCCCTCCTCCCTGGAGATAGTCCCCTATTGCACCCTACAGTACCCTCTTAAGGGTCTGTGCAGGAGTGGGGGGTGGGTAATAATTGTGGATTTTCCTCTAAGGAGTCAGGATATTTTTGGTAACAAGTGTAAAACAGTATGATCTCAAAGCCTGGAGTCAAACATTGTTGCATATAAAATGCTTAAAAAAAAAAAAAAACAACTTTTATAACTGATGCTGAGCAGAAGACTGGGGGAGAGAAAAGTGATCTGGATGTGGGGGCATTAGGGAGGAAGCAGAATGCAAAGATAAATAGGGAATAGCTTTTTGGATGTGAGCAAATAATATTTCATTGAAGGATTATGTAAGACCTACTACATATGTTCAGATCTCTACGTTTTCAGACCACAGAATGAAAAGAGGCCCAGGGCTTATGAGAGCAATACTGATTGCCTGTCAGGTGGCCAGAGAGGGGCTTGGGCCACAATATCAGTTAAGACTATCAGCTACCTGAAAACACCCAAAATCACAGACTTAAAGAAAATCAATCCCTTAGTGATCTGGGGCCAGTGATCCAGGGTTGGCATGTTAGCCCCATTGTTACCAGGGACCCGGCCTGGTCAGGCCTTCTGCGCTACCATCCCAAGACCCTCCTCAGGGTCCAGGATATTGTCACGTCTCCAGCCATCACATCTAACCTCAGAAGTCACACTATCTCTGCAGTTTACCCTTTCTTGGCTAGACCTTAGTCATGTGGCCACATATTCCTATAAGAAGACAGAGATTGAGAAATGTCATCTTTTGGCTGAATGTCAACAGGCCCAGCTAAAATAAGACATTGAATAAATCAAGAAAAGGGTAGAATCCCCATAACTGAGAAAAGTCATAGGAGTTCCTCTTCCTGGAATAGTGTTCACACTACATTCAGGCACAGCTCAAGGGCAGAGGTAAATGGGTTTCTGGCCTAGCAGGAAGCAAGGCAGACAGTAAGTGACAATCAGTTGACAACCTATGTTCTGTTCTCAGGTCTGCAGATGTAATGCAGGCAGTACCAGACAGGGCTATGTGAAGCCCCCTGAGCATCAGGACGGTCAGCCTGGCATCTCTTTGATGAAAATTCCATTCATCAAACACTCCCAACATTTCTGTCTGCCCTGAGAGAAGGGTGGGGGAGAAGTAAGCAATTAGAGAGGCCGAGCTCCACCCTGAAATCAGCCCCTGAGTCATTCCTCAGCCAGCACCCATCAAGGGCCACACGCTCAGAAACACTAGAGAATAAGAGTCCCGTCATGAAACCCCAAGTCTGTTTTTGTTTTCTTAGTGAAGGATTTGGGGCTCTCAGCTTGCTGAGGTGCTAAGCTATGATGTGGAATAATTCTGTGGCATGTGGGGCAAGCTGGAGAACTTGGGAAAACAGAGGGACACGGCCTTTCCTTCTCACCTGGCCAGCCAGTGGCCCCCAAGCCTGGTTTGCTGGGAACCACGAGGGTGTACAAGTTCAGTCCACAGGTTGTAAGTGGGTGTGATTCTAATTAAATCTGGAGCCCATGTCACCCACCCACAGCTTCCTGCCTTGGCTGCTGTGTGGTGGTCTCAGACTATCTGAGGTGAAAGACCAGTTTTTGTTTCCGTTTCTATTTCCAGTCTGTCAGAAAAATGAAATGAATTTATTGGAAAAAAATCATATTACCAAGTTATACAAAATATAAACTCAGACTTCTGTTAGATTCAACTGGTAGAAAATGGCTGGGTCCGAGTGCTCTGCAAGTTTCTAAAGACTACCTCAGTTCCTGGACCTAGTTTGCATGTAGTGAAGAATTTAAAGTCATTGCTGCTAACCCCATGGACTTTACTTTGGACTTCAGTGTCCCAGAGGCCCAGGGTCGAGGACCACTGGGGAACTGTGGACCTTCCTGGCTCCACCTGGGGCAATTCTAAAGGAGCTTGAGGAAGCTCCCCCTGGGAAGAGAGCAGGCTGGCCAAGCTGGGCCTCGCTGTCTCATCCCTCTCTTTAGCCCCTCCTGCCCAGCCAGTTGCTGCTTCAATGCATAGTACTACCATAGTCTCCATGTGCTGGTGAAAATTTTATTACCTGCTTGTGCATGGAAAAGTGAAAGGTCACAGTGAATTGCAATCTCACAGTGAATTGCAATCACTATGCACGCTCTCTGCCTGAACACGGCCTGGGGCATGGTGCTGGTTTGCTTAGCACAGCAGAGGACCAGCAAGGCGATGCTATCTCCAGCTGGCATGGCCTGGCCAGGCCCGGCCAGAGGGAGGTCACTGTGGGCTCTGTGTTGCAGTTCTCCAAGGAGAGACACATCATGGACAGGACCCCCGAGCGGCTAAAGAAGGAACTGGAGGAGGAGCTGCTGCTGAGCAGTGAGGACCTGCGGAGCCACGCCTGGTACCATGGCCGCATCCCCCGACAGGTACATGCTTGTCCCCTCAGGCAGTGTCAGCCTAGTGGCCCTGCAGGGTCCCACTCCAAGATCATGTGGGAAAAGGCCTCTGTTTAGCTAAAAGCCAATGCCATAAGTGAGATGACTTAGACTCCTCTAGGGAGACCTTGGGAAGAGCAAAGGTCAGTAACCCAAAGTACATTTCCACATGGCCAGTAAGTGGATGCAGGAAAAGCCAGCATTCCTGTGGGCTGTCAACACGAGTCAGCAGGAGGCCGCAGCCACGGGGGCAACAACCTGAAGGAGACCCTGCCTGCCGGGCTGTGGCTCAGATGGCTGAGCTCTTGGCCAGCTGCCACCACCTCCTGCCCTTTGGAAACTGCCTCCTGTTTAAGGTGGTAGCTTAGCTTCAGGGGATGGGGCGTTGGCACCGCCTGTCAAGCGGCCTCTGCCCTAGTGGGGCCAGCAGCTGTTCACTCTGTCCTTTACCTCTTGTATCCCATGACCCAGAGATGGGAAAGAGGAGGAACAATGCCAGTGACCACAGATACACAGCCTGGAATTTACTTTGTGTGGTTGTCCTTGGGGTCACTGCCGTGAATGATGTTTCTATTTAATGCTATGAAAATTGAAAAATAGATTAAGTCTGCAGAATTGAGGTATAGAATTTCCTTTGGGTTTTTACTGTAAACCTGATCTGGTCAATTATTAACCAAGGACAACATGACAGGAAATGGGTGGGGGGAGGGTGACATGTTGTAAATTAACTGTTTTTAGTTTAGCAGATTTCTCAGCACTTTCAAAGAAATAGTTCTTATTCTAACCTAGCTTTTTTTTTTAAGTGTAAAATTGATTGTATAAAATAGAGATAACAAAAAAGAAGAAAAACTCCCATCCACCATTGTCTCCTGGAGATAACCATGATGAACATTAGATATATATCCTCAATCAAGCAGGAGATGAGTGCATATTACTATTTGTAGCCTGCTTTCTTCACTTAGTGATAATTTCCTGGAAATTCTCACCTGCTATAAAATGCTCTGCTTGATACGTACGTGTGGACCAGTCTGTATCATATGTAGATCCATTATATGTGCACATCACAATGTATTAGACACTTAGGTATTCTAGCACTCTGACCAAGATCCTACAAGATAACTACTGTGTTCATACCTAATAATTTTTCCACAGGATCAATTCCAAGAAAAGGCATTTCTGTGAAAACATTTTTAAGTCAAAGATGCAATTTTAAGGTAACCATGGTAGCATACTATTTTAAGCTAACCGACATATACCATTGATTGAATGCTGGAATATCCCAGAAAAATTGTCAGAGTTTATTCAACTGACAAGTGACACCAACATCCTTCTCCTTATTATGATGACAGAATCTGTTTACCGTTTGTCATGAGTGCAAATTTTCAACAGAATTCCAATCTGGATAACTGAACATCATAGCAACAACAATAATAGTTATAGCCAACTCTTTATCCCTTTGAATCTTTACAGCCACTCTGTAGGTAATATTATTGTCCCTATTTTACAGATAACGAAAGTGAATCAAAATTGTAACGACTCCTCCAGTTACCCAGTGAGGCAGACTGCAGAGCCAGGCAGTGGGGCTGCAGAACAACCAGGCTGCACCACGTGTAAATTCTCCTTTTGCTTGCCGTCATCATAGTTAGTCATTTTTGAGCACCCACTGTGTTTCAGGCACTGTGCTAGTGCTTGGCATGTTATGAATGCAGATTCATCATCCTCACAATGACTTGGTGAGAGGAGAAAGCCCAACTTGGCTTTGTTCCAGGCTTCCCCAGCCAATGATTGGCATGTCCAGAATCCAGCATGTGTCTGATGCTACAGATCCACCTATGGATCCCTCCTACCATTGGCCAGGCCTAGAGAGGGACACTTCCAGAGACCAACCGATACCCATATTCTCACTCCCCTGGCTGGGGAGAGAAAACCAGACCTGCCAGGCACATGTGTTTTTCCTTTCTTGTTCTCTGTTGCTTTACATCCTTCCAATCTTTGTGGAGATCTCTTCTCATGAGGCTTCCCCAAGGACCCTCTTTGGAAGGACAGCCCTCACTCTCCTCCTCCCTAATATTCTCTCTGCCTTCCTGTCTCTTAACTTTACCTCCGATGCACCACACCTTTCGTTCAGGTAGCCTCACGCACCCCAAGCGCTCCACGAAGGGCAGGAGATCCCCGGGCGCCTGCTTCATCACTGTGTGAGGCAGGTGCCTACAGCAGTGCTTGGCACGTAGAAGGTGGTCCGTCAATAGATGTCAGATTTGACAAGCTCAGGAGCCAACCGAGGAAGAGACACCAGGTGCTGTCCTCCCTTGGTCCCAGCACTCTGCAAAGGCACAAGAGTCTGCCCTCCCTTCTCCTCACTCACCACTTTGTCCACAGGTGTCTGAAAACCTTGTGCAACGGGATGGTGACTTTCTGGTTCGCGACTCTCTGTCCAGCCCCGGAAACTTTGTCCTGACCTGTCAGTGGAAGAACCTGGCTCAGCACTTCAAGATCCACCGGACGGTTCTGCGGCTCAGCGAGGCCTACAGCCGCGTGCAATACCAGTTTGAGATGGAGAGCTTCGACTCCATCCCCGGCCTGGTGCGCTGCTATGTGGGCAACCGGCGGCCCGTCTCCCAGCAGAGCGGTGCCATCATCTTCCAGCCCATCAACAGGACGGTGCCTCTTCGGTGTCTGGAGGAGCGCTATGGCACGTCCCCAGGCCGGACCCGGGAGGGCAGCCTCACCGAGGGAAGGCAGGACGTGGCCAAGAGGCTGAGCCTCACCATGGGTGGCGTCCAGGCCCGGGAGCAGAGCTTGCCCAGGGGGAACCTCCTCAGGTGGGTCAGGGCTTCCTCTGGGGGTGCCAGGGCCTCCAGGCCTGGTTGGGGTACCTGGGCTTAGTTCAGCCAATGAGAATAGAGAAGCAGTAAAGGATGTTGGTGAGAATGCCCATAAGGCAGTGCACAGTTAGTTCCCAACTGAGTTGTATCAAAAACAAGTGGCACCAGGCACAGCAGCACACACCTGTATTTCCAGCAATTTGGGAGGCTGAGGCAGGAGGATCGCTAGTTCCAGGCCAGCCTCAGCATTTTAGTAAGACCCTATCTCAAATTTTTTTTTTAAATATTTATTTTTTGGTTGTAGTTGGACACAATACCTTTATTTATTTATTTTTATGTGTTATGAGGATCGAACCCAGGGCCTCACATATGCTAGGTGAACACTTTACCGCTGAGCCACAACTCCACCCCCTCAAAATAAAAATTTTAAAAAGGGCTGTGGATATAACTGGGTGGTAGAGCACCTCAGGTTCAACCCCCAGCACCCCCCCCCC